GCCTTGGAGACGGAGGTGGCAGCCATGATCGAGAAATAAATTTGGGTCGATCCGACCGCTCTGTTTTTACTTCTCGGGACTTCGAAGGCGTGGACACTTATCTATGCGTCCTCATGCGACGCCGAGACAAAACAACAGTGAGCGTGTGAGTCAAAGAGAAGAACAAGACTCGAGCCTGACACGCGATCTGGGCTGCTAAAGTGTTGTTCCAGTGGCTGCTCTGACTCAACCAAAATTCGATGCGCTGCAATAAAGTGTCCCGCGGGGTCGAAATCAATGGCCGTCGCAGCGGGACCAAAAAATGGAGGGGCTCTTGATGCGTGCATAAACGACTGCATATCGAGCTAGCTTGGCTTTTTATGCTGCGGCTGTGCTCCATCTCAGTCGTGCTTAAGCCACAAAACCACTTTCGCATAGCAAGCAGCAGCGTTTCGATACGTCAAGGCCGCCTGCTCCATTCGAGGATTATTACTCGGTTTGTCGCAAATCTCGAGGCCATTCCGGGTAGTTTCGCAAGCATTGGAGCGATCGATAATACCTACATCTCTTCCAGCGATATTCCCAATCCAAAGAATTAGGAGGTATAGAGAAGAACCATCATGTTCGCAACTCTTGCGCGCCGAAGCGCGACGAGCCCGTTTCCTTCCAAGTTGAAGAGTACCACACCATCGCCGCCCAGCGCCGCCATATACAACACACCTCGCTGCAAACCAAGGAAGACGTGGCCACCCGACTTCTCCAGGCTGTCGCAGAAGGAGCAGTTTCGGTTCGAGAAAAAGTACAAGCGCAGGGTGAAGCTGGCTACGGCACGGCCACGATGGGACAAGTACGTCAAGATGGCTCAGTTGGTGACTGTGACAGGTGAGTTGCGAGACTGCCACTTCTCCTCGAACCATGGCTCAACACTCCCTGTAGGCGTGACTGTGTATAGCATATTATTCATGGATTGGAATACCGAGCATCAACCATTCCAAGGTGTAAGCATTTCCAGCATTCTTCCTTCCGTTAACAACCGCTAAGTACTCCCATAGTTGCGCAACAAATTCTGGGCAGCCCTGGAGTCATTCTCCCCCTCGAAGCGATACGAACGAAGAAACGGCGAGTAACGAGACCATTTGCGCTGTACATGCCACGAAAAAGAATCACTACTGCATCATGAGGCGTTTGGCGATGGGAAGGGCTGATTTTCAAGTGTAATATATGTGCCAGATCCAGAACAACGTTTCCTCGTTGTCGGTATAATTCTGTGATGAGGCTTTTTTTCCTGCATCAAAGAAGTGACCCATGCCGTAACTCCGAGAACACCGCCAATGCATGCATGCTTGTCTTTTTCGTGTAGTGGTTTTCCTCTTCTTGCCATCACCGTCCGGGCCAGACAAAGGTTCCGCCGAGTCCAGCGCCGAGTCCGGTACTCCTAGTCTCGTTGACCGGCCGCTTCGCGACGGTTCCTTGCGATTTCACCCCGGCGACGATGCGGTCGAGGTTCGTCTCGATGACGACCCCTCCCACGATCATCTCGCTCAGCGCGGCGTGGAGGGTCTCAAAGTTGAAAATCAGGTCCAGCTCGCAGACGTTCTCGAACAGCTTATCCAGGGACTCGACGTAGACCTGGATCAGGTCCAGCAGGGCGAGCGGCGACTCGGTCGAGGTGGAGATGACGATGAAGTAGAGGGTCGCATAGTTGCGATAGGTGACGAGCGACGGGACGTCATTGTGCGGTTCCGACGCCGAGTGCGAGGTGCCCGAGGCGGCGAGGATGGGCGGTAGCGGCAGGAAGTTGCAGGCACCGTCTGGTCGGTTAGAGACGAGGGTAAAGATCTCGCTGATGAGGCGCTGCTGGATGCTGGTGTCCTGCGCATTGGAATCAACGGTCAGCTACCTTTACTGGCAGTGGTACTTCAAGTTTCCCGAGCGGGAGAGGTTTGGGCTGACCAGCTGGGTGTAGAACTTGGTTAGGCGGGGCTGACCTTGGCCGTTGAAGACCAGAACGGCGTTGATCATGATGAAGGCATAGGAAGATGCGACTTGTTGCCGTTGTCTTGTCGTGGGGTTTCCGCTGGCGGTCCTAGGCGCTGCCCGGACTATGCGTATGCGCAGTGACTATGGTCGGCTTTGCAGCAGCAGCAGCACAGCACAACGCGCAATGCTTCAACTGTGCAAGACCTTCCCCCACATGTAACATTGCACCAGCCTTGCACAACTGGAGCATAGCAGAAGCAGAGGGGAAGAGCCCAGAAGTCCACGGGCATGGGAAGGGGCTTGGCCAAGGTGGGCGGAGCTAACCAAGACGGCTTAGCGGGGATGAATCATAATTGATCATGCAGCTTATGGGCTTGGGGCTTGCCGAAGCGCGACGATCCCCGTCAGCAATCTGTTACTCGGTCACAAGAGCCAGGTAACAGATTCTCCAGGGCTTGCTTGGCTCCCCCCCGATGGCCCAGGGTTTCCTTTTGTACAGAAACTGGAGTCGCTGTGTATCATTATGGTGTAGGTATGATGGTAAATGATGCTGAGTCCCATAGCATTGTGTAGAAGGCAAGATAGAATGACTACATAAAAAGATCTCTGTCTATGCGATTGAGATGCGATGATCCTAGACGACCGGCAATGATACTTCTGCCATTATTGAACTTCGACAAATCAATGGATATTGGATAGGACTTGATACTTGACTTGCGATACAGACGCCGAGTATCGCGAAACATAGAAATCTGACGAGTTCGGTGTGGTATGGTGAGTAAATGTTCAACTAAACGAATCAAACGGTCTCCAGCACTGTGATTAAAAAATCACGTTCCCTTTGCCGAAATGAACACTCTTTCACACAAGAGACACATGAGCGAGAAAGCAAGAGCCGACATCGACTGATGGTGCAATTGATAAGATCATTGATTCATCCCAAGCTACACTACTTGTACTCTGCTAACACATCATGCATCCATACCAGCCTTGATCTTGAACAAACTCTTCAGCGCAGCAACCTCGGCCTCCTGACGTGCGAGACGAACCCGCAGATCGTCGCGGTCATCCTTGATCTCCTTCAACTCGGCCTCCAACTCGCTGATACGATCAATCTTCTTTTGACGGTATTTCCGCGCAGCAATGTTGTTTCGCTGACGCTTGATAGCCGTCTCGGGGTCTACAGGCGGCGAACGCTTTCGCTTCTGAGACTCCGTACCAGAGATTGGAGGAGTGGTCTCGGGGTAAAATTCATTAGATAGTGTGGAAGAGGGAGATTGCTGCATGGGCGTGACGTTTGCCGAAGACGGCATGGTAGTGACTGTCATGGATGCCGATGGAGGCATGGTGGTAGTCAAGATGTGGTCTGAAGAATGTGATTAGGATGACTTGTGTTATGAGATAGATGATAAGAGCTCACCTAGAACATCATTCTGTAACACTTGTGAAAGATCAAAATCTGGTAACGGCGCCGGGCGGGCGCCCTCGGACCAATCCAGCCCAGTCAAATCCACTCCGCCGAAGCTGCCATTGTCGACGACACCCGTGAGCCAATTGTCAGACAGGGAGCTGCCCACACCCAGAGCATCGCTATTGTTGTTGTTGTTGAGATTCAGATGCAGGTCTGGGTGGAGGCCCCCTACCCCGACACCATAGTGGAAGAATTCCGAGGGCTCGAATACGGAGATCTCCCACGGCGCGAGGTTATGTTGGCTCGAAGATGCCAAGGAGCTGGCTTGGGACGTAGTAGTAGGTTGCGATGGAGAAAGACATCTCTGTATGTTGTTTCGACCTCCACTCGAGGTCGGGTGAGAAACTTGATGAAATTCTAGAGGGATTGTTCAAGTCGCCGTCTGCCTTGAAGACGGCGGAGGATGATGAAGCCCAAGATGGTGGTATCCTGGGAGGTTGAGGAGAAAAGAAGAAGAAGACAAGACAAGAAACTGGCCGCGGGGATCTATCTTTAAAGAACTTTAGAGCTGGGGGGGAATCCCACAGCCCAGCCCATCAATCCCCGAAGGGTCTCGGGGGCTCCGCTTTCTTCGACTTGCAGCAGGGATGGCTTGGCCATAGCCCCGCTAATCTGCATGGCTTTGTGACCAGAATCCTACTTCTTGTTACCAGATTTCTCTGACAAGCCCTCTCCAGATCAAATCATGATTAGGTCTCCGTACATATTGTTTTCTATACAAACTTCGGACAGGATTCGAACTGACAATACACAAGACTTTCCGAAAGGCTTTTGTGTTATTTTTGCAGAGTAGTCTTATCAAGTTTTCGATATATATAAAAGAGGCCAAAGAAGAAGCACGTCTTCGCAAAGCTTACCGCGGTACAGAGTACAAAGATACATCAAACTTCCCCTTTGAGTTCTTGGTCAGACAGCACCGAGCCAGTAAAACACGCCGCCCAAAAGTTCCGACGGGTGGAATGCAACGTGTTGCGCATGAATGGCTTTGTACGTCGCGGCACTTTTCGCTACAAATCGATTTCTCGGCAACTTTCTAGTCTAGGTGGCCTTTGAGTGCTATTGAACGTTGTGGTCTCTTTGAAGTAAATAGGTATAGATCAAGTCCAGTGTACCAGCCATGTCAATGGTTGCATCTCATGTTTGGAAGGTGCGACCATAAAACATTGACTATACGGAGTACCTCAATCGATATATGCCGGCTTGTGATTGTTGGCATGGCTTGGATACTTCTCATTTGCAGGCCATTGCCCCAGCTGTGCATGTAATATTGACATTGATGCCGTGCTGTTATTCTCCGTCAATTGCTGTGGTATGTTCTGGAGGTCTGCAAAGTGCGACCATACGGAAAGAACATCGAACCTCCCTCAACCACAATCAATTCATAGACGCTGAATGTGGTATACTCACAGCAATTCACTTGTCTCCTCTTGCAACCAGGGGATCAATTATCGATCAACGAAATATGAGGGAACTGCTTCAAATGTACGAAATAGATCATATACCCAGTTAACAAAATACGTCGCAAAAAGTCGCAAAAAAAGTCGCAAAAAGCTATCCGGGTGATGGACATTGCATCCATCGGGAGTCGAACCCGAGTCTCATGCTTGGAAGGCAAGAATGATAACCGCTACACTATAGATGCGGATCTTGAAAGTTGTGGTCTTATCACAGTAGACAAAATTCTGTTTCTGCGACGCTTTGTCGTGTTCGTCCTAGTGAGATTTGTCCTGATTTATTCTCATGTGTCCCATTTCTGCGTCGTGGGGCACTTAATAAGTGGTGTCGAGCTTGGTGATGGAGTGGAACCATCGTGAGATTCAAAGAGCGTCGACTCCACCAGTGTGCCTGGGCCGAGGCCATGATCGGCGACGGATAGTATCATACTAAGGTCTTCAAGATAGTCAGTGAGTCCAAGTCATATCGTTGCATGATTCACTCATCCCGAGGCCTTGTGGAGTGAGCATTTCTGGTCAGTGGTTGTAGGGCGGCTAATTATATTCTAAGTTCTCTCAACCTACAGCTCTATGAACCTGATCGATACAGACTCATGCGGGGCCCTGCAAAAAGATGTTCTGGCTAGGTTAGTACAAATTGTGACACCATGAATGGCTAGGAAGAAAACGCTTCTACTACTACTCATACCATTGGAAATCTAATAGCAAGAAAATATCGTGCGACTTTACGTTGGAAACCAACGACCGAAGCCATAGCACAAGTCAAGGTGGAATTACCGAGTCAAATCGTATCTGAAGATAAGCGGAAATGACAATCGTAGGCTTCGTTGCTCGATGAGAGCAATTGTCGCACCCACCCTGATCGCTTTCGCGTACAGATGCAGCATGAATAGTAGATTGCATGGTTGCCAACGAAAGTTCAAAGGTGGATAAACGAATCGCGCTGCTTCTCTTCCCGTGTCTTTGATGTTCGAACATCCCGCGAGAGGACCTGCTTCAATGTTAATTGGTTTGAAGGAGTAGAATTCTTCTATGGTCCTATCTATCCATGGGGCACGGCCTGCGAACCTAAATGCCAACAAACTTGTGATAATTTCTTTTTCCCGTCATTGATCGGCCTGTGCCGTCCCAAATCGCCACGGGTCTCATCTAGACTTCATTCATTGGCGGGATTGGTATATGTTCCTATTGTTGTATGTGGAATATAATACATAGCCGGGCCACCACTTCTTGCATCTGATATTGTTTTTCATTCCATATCGATCACATGACTTCACCGTTTGATACTTCACACAAAGTCATGACAATTCGGTAGCAACACCTTACAGGAGATGGTTCGAACGAGTGTTGGGCCGAGGGCCCTCCGGGCCGTGGGCAGCAAGGAGCAACTTTCGGATGCGAAGATGACCATTTTCAACGATTGTCCGCAACAGATCACGGTGATCGTGGACAACAATGACAACATGTCGGATGAGTTCCCGAGTCCAAATATGATATCCTCAGGGGGCAACGCTTCGGGCTGTGTAGATGCAGGCGCCTGGCCAGGCCAGTCTTCCTTCGACATCTGCTTCCAGTCGGGAGATAAAATGCGCGTTCTCGTGGGCCAGAGCCCAATGCACACGACCGGCGCAGTGCCTCGACAGTTGCAAAGTAGCAAGGCAGGCGCAGTCCTCGCTCCAGGGCGCCCAACGACCACCGGCGGCGACTATAACTTCTGGTTCTTCAACGGGCCAGGCGTCCTCGCGCCCTTGATCAACAGCGTCTTGCAGGCAAATCTTCCTGCGATCATTAATTATATATCATCCAACTCCGTCAACATCAAGCTTTCTGACAATAACATCCTGACCGTCACAAGCTTGCAGCTAGACCCGAATTCTTTACAGTGTACATATGCCGGGATCCTGCCAAAGTCTGGCGGAAGCAGTAACTTATGGAATCTCAATGCCATCTTTCGGGTGAGCGAAGGCTACCTTACAGGTTCCCAGACTATCAATGGACAGGAGGGGACTCTAAACCTCTCCATCACGGACTTGTTTCTTTATGTACAGGCCCAGATCGATTTGGCCTTTCACACGAAGCCACATGTCACAGCTCTACAATGCTCTTTGGGAGATTATCACCTGTCTGGTACAATCATCGGCATCTTGGAGGCACTGTTTCCCTTGATTGCAAACCTCTTCTCTATCGGCGCAACACCATTCAGAGTGGCAGGCTTTCTGAATACCATATTCAACACTTCAATAATCAGCATTATAAACACCCTCCTCGGTGAAGCGATTGGAGTCCCAGACCCAAAGACAAAGTATGCATCGAGTCTGATCCATAGTCTCCGTTTTGGCTCCTCGGTTCTCGCATACCCCAGAAAAAAGGTGGTCAAGCTGTCTCGGCCCCCTCTAGGGACCGATCTCAGCATCTGGATGTCGACACCTCAGATCCAGGGGAGGAAGATGGGACGTCTAAAGATCCCGGGCACCCACGGCAGCGCGACATACGGACTCACCTCGGTAATGAGCCAGATGGTCGACCCGAGGGTGCAATTCCTCTGGAACCTGAGCGGCCACGCGTCGCCCATCAGCGGGCGGTGGCCGATCCGCCTCCCACCGCAGCGCCGGAACCCGCTCTACGTCGGTCCGTACTGCCACAACTTCGTCATGGGACAGGCGGTTAACGCGGTGGCGCGCACGCAGGACCGCAGCGTGCTCGAGCAGCTGCAGTCGGGGATCCGGCACCTCGACTTCCGGGTCTACTACGACGCGCGTGACGGGGAGTTTTACGCGCACCACCTGCTGCGGGGGCCGCGCTTCGCCGACGTGCTCGCGCAGATCCGCTTCTTCGTCGGCGCGCACCCGGGCTCGGGCGAGCTCGTCTTCGCCGCCGTCTCGGGGACCAACTTCGCCGACCACCCGCCGCAGGTGCCCGAGCGCTTCGCCGCCATGGTGAGCGCCTACGTCGAGCCCGAGTACCTGTACCACGAGCCCGACTCGTTCGGCCAGCCGTGCTTCGACTTCCAGATCCTGGCCGAGGCCGCGGTCGGCGACATCACGCAGGGCGCGCCCAAGGTCATGTTCATGAACCTCGACTGGCGGTCCTACGCGTTCGCCGACGTCATCACCAACACGGACGGCTACGTCGGGGCGACGGGCGGGTTCGGGAGCGGTGCCGCGGAGCGGTGCAAGACCGTCGACGACCTCTACGCGCAGCAGGGGCTTGGCCTAAGGTGCCACTCGGACTTGGACTTTCCGCTGTGGTCTGTCGACTGGGTCCTGGAACCCGACCTGCCAACCATTGTGCAAACGGTCCTCATACACCTCACTGGCGTGCGGAAATGGGCGAGGCAGGATATAGCCTCGCAGGCGAACGCGTCGCTTGCTGGGTTCCTGGGTCAGCACGGCGGCGCCAATGCCAAGTTCAATGTGGTTTCAGTGGATTGGATGGAATACGGTGCTGAGCAGAGCGTGTCGGAACTCGTGATTGCAATGAACAATTAGGAATGGCTAACAGAAATCATGCAAGGACAGAAGTTGGTTTAGGCTTCGTATGGCTTCCCTTTACTCGCAGTGTCTTTAATCTATTTCGTCAGTTGTCGGTGATCTTTAATCATGACTCTACGTGCAAGTGTCGAGTACGAAAATACCTTGTCTTCCTTCCTCCTTAACTTGATATGATCCATGCTATAAATCAGATTCGCGATCTCCAGCAATGGTCGGTCGGTGACAAATATTGTGTAGTCGTGGTTTTGTGAGGGGTTCCAAGTGTTAAAGTTGACCACTAAGCTATTATCAAACACCTTCTCTCTTACAGATCATGTATACAGTTCAAGTTGGGTTATACCTCATCATATGAGATTATAGTCACCCTCGACCCCACTCCTTGGCAATTGCGCTAATGCAACCTGCTTACAATGTACATCCCCAAGTTGAAGCCTTCACTTCAAACTCCTCCGTAAGATGAGGGACATTTTGATTCTTGACTTCACTGCCATAGCGCCGTCGGTCATAAATCATTTCTCGCATACCATCCCCAAGTATATATAGTAAGCAGGTTGCAGCAACAATCGTGCGGTGGGTGCACCACCAACAGCTAGACGTCCGCCGATCTCGTCAGACACCATGGAGATCGCCAGCAAGGATGATTCGATGCCAAGCTCGCCGTTAGCTCTGCAGGCCATGCCTCAGCAGCACCACGTTCAGTCACAAGATGAGGATTGGACGGGCGTTACGAGCACATCCGAGAGAAGAAAGCTGCAGAACAGGCTCAACCAGAGAGCATACCGTAAGTATAAGGCAATGAAGCTGATGATGCTCAGTAACTGTATTCGGAGAGCTGATACTGTACGCTGGGCGCGGTGTGGCAGGCCAACGAAAGAACAAAAGTGTCAGAACACAAAGAACGGTCGCAATCGATCGAGAACTTCTCGAGGCGGCCAGCCAAGCAGAAACAAGAACGAGAGACACCAAAAATGACGAGACCGAGCCCATCGAGGAAGTCTCTACGGAAGCCGTCCCTGTGGCCCTCTCGGAGGGCTACAAGATGCTGATAGTGCCGCAGTGGCGCGACGACGTGCTCCGGTTCACGCGCGAGGCGTACGAGCAGTACACGCTGAGAAGACCGCGGCCGAATCAGGTCAGTGTCCGGCCTTGTATCTCTTTCCCTGGCACGTCTATCGAGATGCAACTCGGACACGGCTTTTCTGCTTCCCAACACACCATGTTGCTCTTACACGTCTCATATTGAGAGAACTGACTGACACCATTTGTTACATAGCTGGGCTTGCTAATCAAGCTTAACGTTCTCAACGCGCTGGCTCGCAACGCGACGCTCATCGGGCTGCCCAACGAGCGCGTCTGCGCCGACGACGCCGTCTCGCCGTTCAGCCAGCCGGGGGCCCTGCCGCTGCCGGACCAGGAAGCATGGCCGGGGGCCCTGCGGCCCACGCCCGTCCAGTACGAGGTGCACCACCACCCTTGGATCGACCTCGTGCCCTTCCCGCTGATGCGCGAGCGGGCCATCCGGGCCGTGCACGCGGGCCTGCTGGACGAGGACGAGCTCGTGCTCGACCTCGCCGAGGTGTGCCACCGGGAGTCTGCGCACACGCCGTTCCTCATCGTCTGGGGCGACTCGGCTGACCCGAGCGGCTGGGAGGCGACGCTGCCGTTCCTCGAAAAGTACGGCTGGCTCGTCTGGGGCT